TCATAAGCTGTTTGGTGGTGGGGTGGAGGTGAGATGCTGAGGGTATGGGCTGGCAAGCAACAAACGAGAAAGGTCAGCAGACCACAGTTTGTAGGAGGTGAGAACAGAGGGGGGCTCAGACGGGGAGAGGATGCTGGGCACTACAGGAGGTGGAAAATTACCAATGGAAAGGCTTGTGAAAACAATCAAGTCAGACATTTGGTGTGAGGATTTTCTAACGGCAGTGGGGACACCTCTTCTCTGCCACCCCCTCTTTGTGTCCCCCAGCTTCAGGAAAGCCTACTGTGTATACAATCTGCCTCGTGTGTACACGTGGGGGGAGTCTCACATGTGTCGACCTGAGGCAAACACAATGCCAGAGATGATCGTCAACTTTTATGAGCCTCTGGAGACTTGCAGGGTCCCTAGGCGGCGAAGCGGTTTGTGCTAGACTATTAACCTAAAGGTTGGTGGTTCGAACCCACCCAGCGACACCGGGAAATACAGGCCTGGTGATCTGCTTCACAGCCTTGAAAACCCTATGGAGCCATTCTACTCCATAATACCCGGGGTTGCCATGAGTAATTGACTTGATGGCAGCACCAAGCCTGAGCTTGGGAGTGCAAGGCAATCTTATCCAGATCTCAAAGGAAAGGAACTTCAGCTGACATCGGAGACTCCTACAAGCTCTGTCACCCCACTTGGAATGTGACCAAAAGGGAAAAAAGAATCAGGGAAATGAGGCACCAAGGGACGATCACAGGAATCGCGCAGTTTAGTGTGGAGAGCAGCCAATGGGATCCTTGGGCTGGAGGCAGGAGAGTGCCGGCCTTCTTGGGTTACGGGGAGAAAAGTGGGCATGTCTTCCTGCCCTCCCACGTTCCTCTGTGCTATGTCAGGAGGAGCAGCCTCGAGGAGCTCTACGGACGCTGTTGGAATAATTCAGCTGGTGGGTTTGCTCTGCCATTGAGTCAAGTCAGTTCTGACTCACGGCAACCCCGTACGTGTCAGAGTAGAACTGGACTCCACAGGGTTTTCAGTGGCTGATTTTTCTAAAATAGATCACCAGGTCTTTCTTCCAAGGAGCCTGTGGATAGACTTGAACTGCTAACTTTTCAGTGAGCAGTTGAGCAGCTTAACCATTTGCACCACTCAGGGACGCCCCTTGCTGCCCCGGCCCTTCTGAGTTCGTCCAGTGGGAGCCCACTGATGGCCATTCTCCACTTCTTGCAGCCTTCCAATCCCGTGCCACGGGCGGAAACCTTGGGCAATGAGGTTTTCACTGAGCTGTTAGGGTTTTTTTGAGCTGTTAGTTTTCACATATATAATTTTGTGACAATTAGACCTGAGGAAAGCTGTACCCCGAGGTCAGGTCACCTCTATTCTCTTCATTTCCTGCAGCTCCTTCTCTTGTCCTCTGCCTCCTCTCACACACACACACACACACACACACACACACACACACACACACACACACACACACCCTCCTACTTTAACCCAAGATTTAGGGACAGGTTGTGATTTAATAATACTTTTCTTCCTATTGAATTCTAAAATTGAAACAACACAAATTAGTAACCAAGTCAGTTTTTAGTATTGCCTCTGGGTGTTGTTACTCACGTCTGACTTCATTTTATTGTAAACTCTTTGGCTCAACAATGACAGCAAACTTTACCTGTTAACTTTGTAAATGAATAAACTTTGTAACTGAAAGGCATACATCAAAAGTTTAAAAATAGAATGAGGATCATAATAATTTAGTTAAGTCAATAGACTAGTAAAGGTTGACTTGATCACAGCCTTGACCGCAGAGCTGACTGGACTGCCTGTATTGCTGGCAAAACTCAGTTTGATCCCCTGAACTCTCCCCTGTGATTACTGTGCATCTTAGAAACTCTGTGGAAAGTCTTCTGGCAAAAAGGGTCACTCTTTGAGACCCTACTTATGCTGGACATGTGGGGCTGTTCTTGGTCCCTCACTTCACAGGTGGCATAACTAGCGGGCATTGTGAGCAGCCCACCTGAGCATCTAGGTGAAGACTCAGCAGCAGCAACAGGAGGCCCAGGCGGGGTTTCTGAACCCAGCAGCTCAGGCACCAAAGCACAGACCCTGTGCAGGGAGGGCCGCGTGTCCATGTGTTCTCTGGGACGTGTGTGTTATGCCAGCTTGTGAACAAAGGTCTCCTTAGCCCTCAGGCACCAGCAGGAGAGATGCCGGCACCCTGGGGTGCTGTTCCCGTTAGCCAAGACAGACCAGGCCAGAAACTGTCCACTTTCCTGAGGAAAAGACTTCCAGGTTCTTCTCCAGAGACACTCTGTCTTTAAGAAGCCACCTGGCTCACAAGGCAGATGGGTCCGTTTTCTGCCGGGCCTGTTTCTAGAGCAAGCAGCTAATTGTGAGCACCATAAACTCCACCGGAAAGGCAAACACTCATGTGAGGCATTTCTGGGGATTAGAAAGTGACGACCAGCGTCATTATGATAGCAGATGGCTGTATGAATGGGTGAACTGGGCTGGGTGCCAGCACACTGCTCAGAAGGGTGAATTTCTACCCACTCCAGGTAACAGGCCTGGGCTCAGGTAATCCAACACTGAAGACACCCAGCAAATCAGGGACTAGGTTAACACTGGCATTTAATCCCTCTGCTTACTGGAGAGCCTCAGTGGCCAGCAGGGGCTCAGAATGACGTCCGTGTTATGAGTGGCCTTGCCTTGCAGAAACAACGCAAAAGTCACATCTTTTTGAAAGAGCGGCCAAATTCAGGGGGTTAGTTTAATTTATAACTTTAACTGCAGATTGTTTCTGTGGGTGAATCAAAGGTGTGCTGACATCTATTCAGTGAAAATGCCATGAAATACCGTAGACACACTCCGGGGGCGAGTGTGCTTAAGGGTCTCAGCTCACGTTACACAGATTGTTACCTGCGTCATATTCGTTCTCTGGAGTGGTGGATTCCTCATTTAGATCCCTGTTGAATAGAGAGGATGTTTTATCACTCTTTTCCTCTGAAAAAGACAAAAGACAGAAAATAAAATATGTCCGTCCGTCTCAAAGCAACCGCTGGTCTCTACTGAGCTGTGTTTTTATGGTGGAAACAACTTCCTCCAGAGCCGAAGTGAGGCGTGCCGGAGGGTTTTCCGAGGTAAGCCCAGATGCACCCCACTTCAGTCTTAGGTCTTTATTTTGTTAACGTAATGAATTCCCATGTAGCCCACCCATAGGCTGAGGCAGGGTCCTCAAACTTGAGCAGGCATCAGAATCCCCAGGAGGCTTGTTAAACAGACTCCTGGGCCCACCCAGGGTCCCTGATTCAGTAGTTTTGGGGTGAGCCGGAGGATTAGCATTTCTCATGGATCCGGAGTGATGCCAATGCTGCTGGCTGGGAACTAAAAGGACCCCAGCGAGGGTCTTCCATTGGTCATGGGGCCTCTCGGAGCCCCCGTATCCACTTAGATAAAATAGAGGCGATTAGGCCTGTCTCACAGGTTTGTTGTGAGGCTAGATGGCATAATGCTCATGAAAACAATCTATAATCCACAACAAACCAAAAAAAAACAAACCCTTTGCTGCCGAGTCAATTCCAACTCATAGCGACCCTACAGGACAGAGTAGAACTGCCCCCATAGGGTTTCCAAGGAGTGGCTGGTGGATTCGAACTACCAACCTTTTGGTTAGCAGCTGAGCTCTTAACCACTGGTGTCGTAAATTTCAAGGACAAAACAGAAACATTAGCTGCACTAAAATATGCCTTTATCCATGGAAGGACTGCAGCATGGGTTAGTAGAAAAAGGACGAGGTCGAAAATCAGGAATATTTACATCCAGACCCTGCCACTGGCTATCTCTGGCTCCTTTGCTTATGAGACCTGTCTGGGGGATAGAGGGAGTTCAGCTTGGACACGAGAGCCATCTTTGTTGGATGCAGGACTGGGCCGGAGACGAGACTGAGAGGTGTTCTGAGAAGTTGTAGGGAGCAAACCAGAACCAATGGGTGGAAGCTGCAGGAAGGTATGTCTGGGTGTTGGGCAGTCAGAAAGTAGAGCTATCAAAACGGAAATGCGGAGGCGTCCCCAGAAGAGTTGAAGCTAGGATGGAGCCCCGCCCCCAGTCCAGATGGGAGACCCCTGAGAGCTGGAGGGGCAGCTTCGGGGTGAGCTTGGTAAAGCTTCCTTGGTCTAGTTCACAAAGGGACAGGGAACTATCGCAAAATGGTTAGGACTATCATGCGGGGGTGTGGTAATAACAGTCTCATGAAGTCCTAATATTCCTGGGGAAAATGATAGATTTGTTCCTTATTCAATTTGGCTTAGAAAGGAGAGAAAACTCCAACTTAATATGACCCATAATCACTTGACTTTGGAAACATCACTCGTCAAGTCAAAGTCCACAGATTAACAACCACAGAGAGAAAACTCTGGATAACACGCAGTTAGCCCCTTAAGGTGTTGCGTTCGCCTTGCTCTTTCACAGAGCTGTGAAAAAAAGATAAACGTTATTACTCAAACACAAATTTTTACTTTCCTTCTCTATACACCAAAAAAAAAAAAAAAAGTCCCAGAATTGGGAGCCACTGTAATACTTATTTAGGAGTCCCTGTAATACATATTTGGAGTCCTGGTGGCACAGTGGTTAAGAGCTACAGCTACTTACCAAAAGGTCAGCAGTTCAAATCCACCAGTTGCCCCTTGGGAACCCTATGGGACAGTTCAACTCTGTCCTATAGGGTCGCTATGAGTCGGAATCAACTCAATGGCAACAGGTTTGGTTTGTTTGTTTTTTTTATTAATACATATTTAGGTGCAAACAGTTAAGCATTCGGCTACTAACCAAATTTGATGGTTCAAATCTACCCAGAGGCACCTTGGAAGAAAGGCCTGGTGATGGTCTTCCAAAAATCAGCCGTTGAAAACCCTATGGAGCACTGTTCTACTCTGAGGCACATGGGGTCACCATAAGTCAGAATTGACTTGACAACAACTGCTTTAGTGTTCTTTTTCTTGTGTTTGGTAATACTTATTTATCATCATCATTTACCTACAGTTCTTTGGCGACTTTGAAGAATGTTTTCTTTATGTGATGGAATGGAATTTTGATCATCTGTTGGATTGACATTGTCTGTGGGAAAAAAAATAAGCACAATAATCAAACTTTGACAAATAATTATAGTTTGATTTCCAAACTTCTTTTCAGTTTTAGACAGCATGACCATGAGTAAAGCAGCAGTCCACTAAGAGAGCAATGATAAGCAATCTCCCCATTCTTCCATGCAGCACACCCATTCCAAGCTACCATGCCATCACATCCTGGGCTCGGTAAAATTTTCATACATGAGCCCAGAACCAAGAAATTTTGATCTGTGCTCAAGGAAAAGTTGAAATCTTACATCTTTATAATTTCTCTGTTTTGTTTTTATACTCTTAAGAGATGCTAGCGCTGAAATGAGCCTTCAATTGTATGTAATAACAGCACCTTAACACTATGTGTCTCAGGAATGAGAACTGAACCCACGAGCACTAATAGCTTCAACTGCTGTCCACAGACCTGGACACACCTTTTACAAGACCCTTCACTTGGCGTCCCTGGATCGTGCAAATTGTTAACACATTCAACTGCTAACTGAAAGGTTGGTGGTTCAAGTCCACCCAGAGGCACTTCGCAAGAAGGCCTGGAGATCTACTTCCAAAAAATCAGACATTGAAAGCCCTATGGAAACAACCTGGAAACAGAGGGTGAGAATGGCTACACAACTCAAAAAATGTAATGAGTATCAGTGAATTGTATATGTAGAAATTGCTGAATTGGTGTATGTTCTGCTGTGTATATTCTCAACAACAACAAAAAAATTAAATTATAAAAAAGAAAATCACTTTAAATATAAAAGATCTAAACTGCACTTAAAGGGCAGGGATGAGCACATTTGATTTTTTTTAAAAAAAAAAGCAAGACAGCCATATCCTCCCTATAAGAAACTCACTTTAAATGTAGGAATAGAAGGATTAAAAATATCTCAATTAGGTAGTTTTAAAAGAAAAGGATGAAAAGCATTATACCATACAAACACCAATCAAAAGAAACCTGGACAACAACAATGTTCTAAACTTAGATTGTTGTGATAGTTGCAAAATTCTGTGAATAGACTAAAAACTATTGAATTGTTCATTTTAAATGATTAATTGTACGGTAGGTGAACTATATCTCAATAAAGCTGTTCAGAAAAAAAGAAAAGAAAGAAGTAAACCTCTGTGGAGCACAGCTCTACTCTGACACACGGGGGGCCACCACGAGTCAGAACCGACTCGACAGCAACTGGTTTTACTGGTTTTTCTCTTCCTATTCAGTGCTTTTTTTTTTTTTTTTTTGTGGAATGGTCACTGCTGCTAAGGAGGAGGTGCAGACAGGAGGTGGTCTGGGAATTCTAGCCCATGGCCCACCTCCGCGCAGCTCCTGGCCCCTGGAGATGGGCCTGGCCAGCCTCCTTCTCTTGTGAGGTGCCATCTTCACCACTGTCTGCAGTGTCTTCTCAGTCCTTTTCTTTCTTCACTCTCCCTACTCAAAAACCTTATCAAGCAGGCCCACCTCTCGCCTGCCCTCCCAAAGCTCCACACAAATACAACCTGAATCACTTTTAAAGCACATTATATTTTAGCATACTTATATCTAATAATTATTTGCTGACTAGACTGACTCTCTTATTAGCTACAAGCTCTTGAAGGACAAGAATGCCTGATTTAGCTCTAGCTCCTGGTATGCAATGTAGGTAGGAAATCACTAGCTAGATCTTGAGTGAGAGAACTCATAACAGCCTTTAGGTCAGAAAAGCAGCTAACCCTGCTTTTGCTGACCAAGAATGCAGTCATTTGAAGGCTGGCTGGCACTGGAGGTTCTGCTTCTAAGATGCCTTGCTCACACAACTGCTGGCAGAAGGCTTCACTGCGTCACTGGCTGTTGGTGAGAGGGCTCAGTTCATTGCCAGAGGGCCTCCTTCTAGGACTGCTTGAGTGTCCTCACAACATGGCAGCTGGCTTTTTCCAGAATGAGTGGTCCGAGAAAGAGCAAGGCAGAAACCGCATATCTTTTATGACCTAGTCGGTGAAGCAGCGTACCACCACTTCTGCCATATTTTATGCATTAGAAGGGGGTTACCAAGTCGAGCCCACACTACCGGGGAGGGAAATTAAGCACCACCTCTTGAAGAGAGAGGTATCAGAGGATTTGTGGGCATTTTTTAAAACTACAATAGGAGCAGAATTCCAAGGATAGTGTCATGGATTGAATTGTGTCCCCCAAAAATAACTTGGCTAGGCCATGATGCCCAGTATTGTGTGATTGTCCTCCATTTTGTCAACCGATGTAATTTTCCTGTGTGTTGTAAATCCTGTTTCTATGATGTTGATGAGATGGGATTAGCAGCAGTTATGTTAATGAGGCAGGACTTAATCTACAAGATTAGATTGTGTCTTGAGCCAATCTCTTTTGCGACATAAAAGAAAGAAGCAAGCAGAGAGACATGGGGACCTCATACTACCAAGAAAGCAGTGCCAGGAGCAGAGCATGTCCTTTAGACCTGGGGTCCCTGCACTGAGAAGCTCCTAGGCAAGGGGAAGATTGATGACAAGGACCTTCTCCCACAGCCGACAGAGAGAGGAAGCCTTCCCCTCGAGCTGACGCCCTGAATTTGGACTTGAGCCTGCCAGATTGTGAGAAAATAAATTTCTCTTTGTTGAAGCCATCCACTTGTGGTATTTCTGTTATAGCAGCACTAAGTAACTAAGACAGAAGGTAGCTGAGCAAAATAAATATTCTGCTTGCACCCATATGAATATTGGCTTTCTGAAGAATTGTGGATGGAGAGAAGTGACACCATTTCTGAGGCATTTACTCTGTCTGGTCTTGGATACATGAATTATACCACTAAGAAGAGACCCCTGAATGGTTTCTAAGATATTAGTTTAAGGCATATGAAATTGTAGATATCTGACCATTTTTGACCTACAAAACCAGCAACGTTTCCCAGAAAAATGGAAAGATGCAGGCTGACTTTGTTGATGAGGCCTTTCTAACCCATGTGCGGGCCTCAGTATAAAATCATCCCCTCACCTCGCCCAGTGTAGACCCAGGTACCAAAGAGATGTCCATCTATGTTTAATTTATGATTAACATGCAATTTACATGAGGAAACTTGTAGGACAAATTGTGGGATATTAGAAGTATTCATTTTAGAGATTCTGTAGTAAATTAAAAATCATCTAAGTTAATGGTTCCACACACCAGGGGCTGGTATCTGGCTGAATGTACAAGAGTCACTTGGGGAATGTGGAAAAATGTGCAGATTCCTGGGCTATACTTTTAGACATGCTTGGTAGCTTCCAGGAATAAAGAATTTTTAATCAAAAATTATTAATAAAATATTTGCATAAGCTCTTGCCATTCCCACCCCCCACCACAAGACATGCACAGTCAGGCTTGGGAAGCCCTGACCTGCATCCAGGGGACACTTCCCACACTCCTCATGTAGATGGACACTGCTCTTCCGGAGCCACCCTTCAGGAATGTGCTCAACCCCTCACCAGCCCCCATGCCCCCCACCACCACCCCAGGGGGAAAGAGTGAGCTTCCTGTAAGTCTGGGAGAAGGACTTGGGCCTGTATGGCCAGCCCCCTCTTCCTCCTGTCTGCCAGCAGAGAGCAAACATTCTGATCTGCTCCTCCAGGCTGTATCTTTTATAAAGACACTCACAGGCAGGGACATGGAGAATCATGGGTGTTCTAAACTCTACCAGTGATTGGGGCACTCTTCCTCATTCGGGGTGAAGCGCCCACATTGTCCAGACAAGTATTTATCTAGAATACAGGTGATGGTTTGAACTCGGTCTGCCAGACCCTCCGGTCAGTCTCACATTGGGTTCTGAACTCAGGCAAGCAGAGAAGAGGGTGTTACTAATTGACCCCGCCTCCAATCATAGCCATTTGCATTTACCATCACTGACAGCTCTGTTCACACTGCCATAGAGATTATCTGGTTCCAGAGAATTCTCAGCAACGCTGGTTTCTTTGAGGAAACAGATGAAAAACAAAATTGAGAGAAAAAGTTTTCTTCATTACACATTTACTAGCACCTTGGGCCCAGGTTTTAAAATTTTAAGTTGGAATGTGAATACAGGATTCCAGTTGTACTTGGAAATACGAGTTTGACAGTTAATACATCAGTACAGACAGAGGCACCATCTGATCGCTGGCTGCAGCGTTCAGAGCCCAAGCAGACGCAGCTAACGAGGAAGTAGAATTCACATCTGTGTGCAAAACACCAATACGAGGTACTTTCATGCACTACAGGCAGATTTCTGGTACACGATTCCATGCTTATTACCTGTGATCGAATACCTGTCTTGGTTCTCAAAGTGAATTTTTTTTAATAATGTGGATTGCTCTGGGGAGAAAACCCTGGTGGCACGGTGGTTAAGAGCTACGTCTGCTAACCAAGAGGTCAGCAGTTCAAATCCACCAGCCGCTCCTTGGGAACTCTATGGGACAGTTCTACTCTGTCCTATAGGATTGTTATGAGTTGGAATCGACTCGACAGCAACAGATTTGGGTTTTTTTGTGGCTCTGGGGACGAGTATATTCTCCAGTTACAGCCATTTCTAGATGTGTGGCCTAAGTCACGTCCTAGATTTTACCTGAGTCCTGTCATTCATAGAGGTCCCTGGGTGGTGCAGTACGCACGTGGCTACTAACTGAAAGGTTGGCAGTTCAAACCCAGGCAGCAGCTCCACGGGAGAAAGTCCTGGTGATCTGCTTCGGTAAAGATCACAGCCAAGAAAGCTCTCTGGAGTTCAGTTCTAATCTGTATAATATATGGGGTCGCCATGAGTCGGAAGTGACTCAACGGCAATGGTTTTTGGTTTTTGGTTATCATTCATGGAATAGGGCATTAACAGCTGTCCAGGCCCTCTTAAAGGATCGAGATAATGCATTGCATCAGATCCTGCAGGGTGAACTATAAAGTGTGCTGAGTGGAAAGATATGCTGCTACTCAGGGCTTGAGTTGCCAGGAATGGCGAACCCCACTTGCAAAAGTGGTTCCTGTCCTCTGAACAGCCTCCAGAGTGTGAGAACCTGCCTGACATGTGCACGTCAGGGGTCACCCCAAACACAGGGATATTTACATGTTAGACCAGAGACCTCCACAGTCAGAGGAAGGTTCTAGAGAGGCTACTGGACAATTCTTTCACATCTCACTTTGGGTTTTGCCCCCGGAAGAAGCTGGTTTACAGAATGCTAAAATGAGGGGGTAGTGCATTTAATACAATAAATAGGCCTTCAGAAACGTGCGCACTTTTAGGTTTGAAAATAATACTTGCTTTCATCCATGTCTCTCTTTGTAGTTGATCTGGCTGCTGTTCCTCTTGTTTCACCAAATAATGGGTCACGCGGAACTTTGGAAAACTCTTGCAGCAGAATTTCATCTCAAGTAAAGGGAACAAAGTCAGGTTAATACCAGCGACACAGGACTGATACACCGTGCTCTATAAGTACCTAAAGAAGCCTGTCAATATAGTGAATAAATGATACAAACTCAACAGACATGTGACTTTATGCTCTACAATGCCTTGTCTCCGGAAGGGGGCCTGCGTGAATCATTCCTGAGAAACTGTGATTGCTGTAGACGACCTGCATAGTAAGCATCGTCCACTGAGGATACACAGCTAGAAACCTGGCCCCAAATCCCATGGTGTTTATCGTCATAATGTTCTTCCCTGTCCCTGTGGTCATTCTGACCCACCTCTGAGACTTGCCCCAATTTGTCCCACTAAACTTGGGTGAAGCCCAGGGCACAGAAACTAAGCATAACACATTTTATAAGCTCAGAAAGGTCTTCATTTACAAGTACTTCTGGTTGCTGTCGAGTCGACTCCGACTCAGACACCTCACATGTGGCAGAATAGAACTGGGCTCCAGAAGGGTTTTCGTGGCTGATTTTTCGGAAGCAGATCACCAGACCTTTCTTCCAAGCCTCCTCCGGGTGGTCTCGAACCTCCAGCCTTTCAGTTAGCAGCTGACAGCGCTAACCATTTGCATCACCCAAGGACTCCTTTTGTTGCCAATACAAATTTTGGTGGTTACATTTTTTGGAAATATATTTATTTCTCATTCCCTTTTAAAGTTTCTGGTTTCTATCTGTTCCCAGGGCTTTGCAGTTTTACTTTCTCTTCTAGGTTTGCTCTGCTAAGTCTTAGAAAAAAAAAACATTACAAGTTCCACTGATTTTGTACTTGTTCCAGAGTCCTTTTTCAAAGGCTCTTGGTGTTTCAGCGTGTGATCTCCTCACTTGGTAGAATGGGTGATTACGTTAGGGGCATATTACACCCAAAGAACTAAGCATCAGATTCACTAGTTAAATGATGAGCTCTCATTGCCAGCCGCTTCCCTGATGAATGTGTTGACCTACAAGTTCCTGAAAATGTTGTTCAAACAGAACCCAGCGAGTTGAATGGCGGCCTAACAATGCCACAGCAACACTGGCATGGCGCCGTGAGGGTCAGGAGGTCCTAGACGGGGACTCTCCAAACCCCGACTAATACACATCTTCAGACACACATAGTCCCCTTTGGCAGATGCGGGGCTGGTTTCAGAGAGAGTGGGGTCACCTGCAAGAACAAGAACAAGTCCTCCGATTTCTACACAAGAATTACTGAAAGGGTGGATAGTAGGGGCCCAAGAGCTGTCTGGATCTGCTCAGTCGTTCAAGCATGGGAGTCCATCAACCCATCAGTCAATCTTTCAGCCAGAGCAGATTCACCGAGGCCTCCCTGACAGCACACGTGAAAGAGGAGCAAACCCAGAATTCCTGACAAAAGGCAGCTCCTGGAAAAGGGTCCATATCCCAAGCAGAGAGCTGTTCCTATCCAAGCAGAATCAGCAGGCATCGCCCTGGGATCAGAACATCTCAGATCCCACAGTGAGAGAGCAAGAGAGAAAGGACCCAGAGAGAAGCACCATGCTCGTGCGTCCTTGGCGCTCTCGCTCTTTCTCAGACCAAAGGCGATGCTCAGTCTCTACTCCTGACGCACATCACAGTCACCAGACAGAGAGATTTCACTGGAATTTGACCACCCTCCTTGGGCAGACAGCTGTGGGTCCGGCCTTTTCCCTCAATCTTGAGCTTTTCTTAAATGTTAAATGAGGAGCTTGGATGAGATCAATGAGTCCCCACTCAGGCATCATCTGGAAATTTTTTAAACTGCTAATGCAGAGACTTCACCCAGACCAAGAATCTGAGTCTCTGGAGACAGGAACTGGGACAGGGTATCTCCCCAGGGATTCTCATGTTCGGTTAGGGCTGAGAACCAAGGAGAAGGTCCATCTCAGCCTCAAAGCCTCCCCATCTTTAACAAGGGCAGAAATCTCCCGGGCACCTTGGTGGAGGCAAATGAGACTCAGCTGGTCCAAGGTGGGCTGACACCGAAGTTTTAACAAGCTCCCAGATGATGCTCTTGCTGCTAGCACATGGACCGCTCTTTGAGGAGTAAGGCCCTTTCCAGGTGTTTCTATTCTATGGTTTTCTTTACTTCCTGGGAGTTTGACATTTAAAAGCACTAACTCTAGCCTCAAAGAAAAGCACGTTCCTTCCCCCTCAAAGCAGCAGGAACAGGTTATCTGGGACACAACCACAGACAAGCATCCAACTCTTTTAAAATATAACCTGCTCTGGATTGAATTGTGTCCCCCAAAACTATGTGTTGTAAATCCTAACCTCTATGCCTGTGATTATAATCTCATTTGGGAAAGGGCTGTCTTTGTTATGTTAATGCGGCAGGATTAGTATAGGGTGTATTTTGAGTCAATCTCTCTGGAGATATAAAGAGATTAAATGCAAGCTAGAAAAGAGAGATGGGGAAGAGACATGCCAAGCCACATGAAGATTGCCCAGGAGCAGAAACTCAGAAGAGACAAGAAGCATCCTCCAAAGCTGACAGAGACAGAAAGCCTTCCGCTAGAGCCAGCACCCTGAATTCAGACTTCTAGCCTCCTAAACTGTGAGAAAATAAATTTTTGTTTCTTAAAGTCACCCACTTGTGATATTTCTGTTATAGCAGCACTAGATAACTAAGACAGAATTTGGTACCAAGAAGTGGGGGTGCTGCTCTAACAAATATCTACAATGTGGAAGTGGTTTTGGAATTGGGTAATAGGTGGAGGCTGGAAGAGTTTTAAGGTGCCTAATAGTAAAAGCCTAGATTGCCTTGAATAGGCTGTTGGTAGAATTATGGACATCTGGTGAGGGCTCAGAAGGAAGTGAGGAGAGCTATAGAGAAAGTCTCCATTGTCTTAGAGAATGCATATGGCGCCAGCAACAGAATGTTGCTAGAAATGTGGACGTTAAATGTGCTTCTGGTGAGGCTTTAAAAGGAAATGATGAACTTGCGATTGGACAATGGAGGAAGGGTGATGCTTTTTATGCAGTGACAAAGAAGTTGTTTGAACTGTGTTCAAATGTTTGTTAGAAGGTAGAACTTGTTAAGTGATGAACTTGGATACTTGGCTGAGGAGATTTCTAAGCAAGATCTTAAAGGGGACGTGTGGTTTCTCCTTGCCACTTATAGTAAAATGTGAGAGGAAAGAGATGGGCATAAAAATCAACTGTGCAAAATGAAAACAAAACTTAAAGGTTTGGAAAATTCTGTTGTGCAAACTAAGGACGTCATGCCCTAGAATTTTCCCCAAGGATGTGGCTACACAATCTTTTGTTAAAGAGATTAAGCTGTGACTGATGGCTCTAACCAGCTACCACAGCAGAAAACCCATCAGCTTGGACTGAAGGTGACAGAGAAAGAACGAAAGGAAAGAATGCTGTCTGCCTCTTGGAATTCTACAGGCAGGAAACAGGCCAAAGAAGCTACATCTTTTGTCCTCCAAGAACAGAAAAGGACCATCCCTGGAGCAGCATGGAGATCAGCAGAACTGTTGGAAGGAGCCTAGGAAGCAGAGCTGCCTCTGTTTCAAAGGGTAGAGCCATGGCCTCCTAGGTTTCAAAGAGTCAGATCTTCACCAACTTGGTTCCAGAGTGTGAGGCTGCTATTAAGATGTGCCAAGAGGATGGGGACGCCATCCAAAGATGAGGGGGTGAGGCTGCCATCCCCAAGGGGCAGAAGAACAGGGCCTCAGGGAGTGAAGGGTTGGGGTCGCCACTCAGATGGACGAGGAGAATGGGGCCGCCTAGAGTCAATGGAGCTGAGTTGCCTCTCAGTGGGCCTGGACGGTGGGGCTGAAGCCCAAGGCTGAGGAGCCTCCATCCAGAGTCCAGAGAGCATGGCCAACACCCAGAGTGTGGAGGACGGGGCTATTGCTCAGATGGTCTCAGAGAACAAAGGATTATTTTCTAGCCTTGAGAGCTAATGTAAATTGTTCTGCTGGGTTTGGGACTAGCTAGGTCCCCGTTATCCGTTCTTTCCCTCCAATTTCCCCCATTTGTAATGGAAATATCTACCTTGTGCCAGTTCCGCCATTGTACTTTGGAAGCAGATAACTTGTAGTCTAGATTTCACAGGTTCACCGACGCGGAGGAATTTTGCGCCAGGATGGAATATGCCTAAAATCTCACCCATATTTGATTTAGATGGTTCAGAAGATGAGATTTTGGACTTGGAGTTGATTTAAGACTTTTGGGAGGATTTGACAGGATGAATGTTTTTTACATGTGGCAAGGACATGAATCTGGGGCAGCCAAA